CCAACTTTATCTCACATTCACTACCCTGTACTCCCCCAAAGTACAATACCACCGCGGACTCTCTACGCTCTTTTCGGTCGCTTCCTCTCAGTCTCTTGTGTCTCCGCGTCCAAGATACTCACGACTCGACTCGATCTCACAGTCACAGCTGGCCTGCTGACTGAGAATTCGGGGCCTCCTGTCTAAGCAAGGCAATCTCTCCTGTCCACGTACGCCCTTGTCCGTTGTCCGATACTCCCTGCAACCGACCTCCGTTTACTCTGCACGAGACAATCGCTGCAGCCATTACAGTCGCCATGGTTTAAACTACATTTTCGTCCATACTTTACGCCATGCCATTGCGGACTCTACTGCCGTCCAAGCCTGCCTCAGGTCCTGCTCACGGGAGACATGGCAGTAACGTCGAAGATCCCCCCTCGACTTCGGCGAGCAGCAATGTGCCGTCCACTCGCACTCGCAGCCGTGGAAGCTCACTGAAGAGACTGAGTTTGAGTCTGTCGCGAACAAACGAAGAACCTTTCCCCCCCTTCTTGACGCAGGAGCCCGATAGACTTCCCTCCCACGAACCCTCTATCCAGCCTGATGTACCCTCCCACCAAGCTGACCCGCCCCAAAGTGCCAGCACTCCGGCTACCAGATCCTCTACGCGAGATGAAGGTGAAGGAAGAAATGGCCTTCAAAATGACTTCGGTCCTGGCCCTCTGCCCAAGCCTCAAAGGCTGTCACTCTTGGGCTTGAGACATGCGTCAGATCCACAACTGTCAACCAGATTCAAGAACGAGGAAATCAGTCCTTCGAATGAAGCCCCACGTATGTGTCCTTTCTTTTGTTTTTTTGGTGAACCAGTTGCTAAATTTTCTTGTTGTGCAGCTCCCAAAATCATCACAACTGCGCCTACGACAAACGAATTCGACGAACCTAGCCAGAAGCCATCCAAACGAAAATTGTTTGCTCGAGCACCAAGCCCCTTTCGGAAGAGTCGTAGCTTTAGACAGACGGTTTTGGACCCTTGGAAAGGTACAACTACCGAGGACGCGCAGGCTGAGCAGGGGAACTCGTCAAAGGCCGGAATGCCCAAGGAATCCACGTCCTTTGAGCGCCTTCCGCGGCCAAAGACAGGACATTCTGGAGTGGAACCACCTGCATACGGTGATGAATCGTCGTCCTCGCTTGCAATCCCCGTTACGAGACTTTCGGAATCGTCTCGATCTGATGACAGTTCTGGCGACCACCACGTCTACGCGAAGACTACCACTACACACACTATTTCTACCACCACCACATTCTTCAAACTCAAAAGGCGGAAGAAGAATAAGGGCCCGCTTTTCCCCTTACCTGAAAAGTTCGTGACGCCTGCCTCGGGTCGAACTACCAGCTCGCACACTCCTCAGGAGTCGCTGATGGGGAGAAAGTCCATGTCACCGAGCAGGAGATCAAACACAGCGGTCAGATTTGATACTGAGCCTAGCCGACATGGTTCGGCAGTTCCTTCACCAACTCATTCTGCTGTGGCACTTACCAATGCTCCATTTGGGTCACCTGGAGCAACGATCGTACGGCAAGACTCCAATTGGTCCACGCACTCGGGCCATTCTACTCCGTCAGTGACACTTGTGCCTCCTCGAGTATCAGGGAGAGGAAGGTCTTCGACCTTGAGTTCGCTAGGGAAATCAACTGAGAGGCTATCTGACGCCGGTCCCCAGCCAGCATCAACGCGGACATCAACCTCGACGAGTGGCAGAAGAAGCTTTGGCGACTTGTTGTCTCTTCCTCACCGACTACGGCAGAATTCTGCACCACCAACACGCCCTGGCGCCGGTTCCAGCCCAGGGACTCCAGGGTCAAAGTCGAACTCTCTCCATATATCACGAGAGCCAGAACCGGAACGGGTATATCCCAAGCGAGAGGATGGCGACACACCAGCCAGTTACCTGGAGAAGCTCGAAGCCGCAGTTCCAAGGAGTGCAATGGCATCTATTCTTTGCAAGAGCGCAGATGACTTCTCTAAAACTTGCTTGCGCAAGTACATGCGGGGCTTTTCCTATTTTGGTGATTCCATTGACATGGCGATCCGGAAAATGTTGATGGAGGTAGAGTTGCCCAAGGAGACTCAACAGATCGATCGACTACTGGCCGGGTTCGCGGACAGATACTACGAATGCAACCCGGGGATTTTCTCTTCCACCGACGAAGCGGCCTTTGTTGCGTTCTCCATCCTTCTCCTCCACTCGGATACGCACAATAAGAACAACAAGCGGAAGATGCAGAAACAAGATTACGTCAAGAATACCCAACAAGGCCCGGTGCAGATCTCGAGTGACATTTTAGACTGCTTCTACGACAACGTGTGCTACACGCCTTTCATCCATTTCGAGGACGAGGTTGCTGTTAACAGTCATCGTCTATCAGTGCCCAAGCCGAAAAGAAGCCTGATCAAGACCAGAAGCCTTGAAAGCCTCCGCGGCCCTGTCGACCCATACACTCTAATCTTGGACAATAAGCTGGACGTCTTGCGGCCGTCTCTGAAAGATGTCATGGATACGGAGGACTGTTATTGTTCCACAGGGACGTCCGGTATTCTCGAAACCGATCATCATCACAAGGCCTTTGTCCATTCGGCTGTGTTGCAAATTGTGTCTGCAAGGTCTAGGCCGGACGCTTTTTTATCCCAAGCCACCATCAGCAACCCCGGTGAAGCACAAGCTGGTCTGGTCAGTATCAAGGTTGCCAAAGTGGGGTTGCTCTGGCGCAAGGACCCGAAGAAGAAGAAGGCGAAGCGCCCATGGCAGGAATGGGGGGCGATTCTGACCGATTCGAAGCTCTACTTCTTCAAAGATGTGGGGTGGGTCAAAAAGCTGATTTCGCAATACGACGCTCATTCAAAGTCAGCCAGTAGATCTGCTCCCCTCGTCTTCAAACCACCCCTGACTTCTTTCGAGCCTGACGCGCTGATGTCTATGGATGATGCCGTGGCGCTGCTGGATTCGAGTTACAAGAAACACAAGAATGCCTTTGTCTTCATCAAGCACGGAGGTTTTGAAGAGATCTTCCTGGCTAACAGCGAGGTCGAGATGAACGACTGGATCGGCAAACTTAACTATGCAGCCACTTTCCGCACCGCCGGGGTGAGGATGCGTGGGCTCCTGGGTTCCAATTATGAAGGCCGCCATCTACTTCGAAAAGACTCCGATTTCTCAACCAAGAGCGGAGACACTCCACAGAAGGACAAGAAAGTCGACCCTCAAATGGCGTGGGAGATCATGTTCTACCGCCGGCAACTGATCAATGAGAAAATCAGCGATTTCGACGAGAGGATTGCCGTGGCTCAAAAGGAACTCGACAATCTTCTCCGCAATGCGCGTCACTTGCTGATCTTGCTCCCCATTCAGCAGAAGACACGAGAATTCCTTGTGCTAGCTGCTGGCCGTATGTCTGCCAAGTTGAAATGGACTAGGGTCGAGCTTTGGAGAACGAAGACTCACCGAGAGATTCTCTCCAAAGACCTAGAGGAGGAGGGCGCCACTGCCTTCCCTGCCCCCAAGGCGTCGTTGACCTCGACGCCTCAAAAGACCACCCCTCTAAAGACGGGCCAAGCAGATCTCGGACGAACCATTACAGACACTAGCCACGTGACCTTGTCACCAATCAGTGCCACTTCTTCGAGACCGTCTAACATCATTGATAAACTAAGGACGTCGGAAAATGTCAGTATGCGGACTGAGCAAAGCACGGTTGATCTTCCATCAGCTACAAGCCCGTCTCTGTCCGGAGAGCAGTCTCTGTCAAGACACGAAAGCATTCAAGATTCGCACAGTCTGTCACACCAAGTGTCTACCACCAGTTCTCGTCACAGTCGAGATAGAGACCGCCTCGCACGCGGGGCGGATGATTCGGAGGAGCGCGTCTTACGAGAAGCAGGGTTGATGCATGTCGACGGTAATGTCACCCGCGACAGGAGGCCCGATACTAGCGAGTCAGAAAGGGATCGAGTTGGCGCAATGGCGAGTGCGGTCGAGCCTTCGTCTAAGACTGGAAGTGTCCGCCGAAGCCTTCAGCGCAGTTTGCGTGAATCTCACCATCACCACCATCACCATCTTCACCAATCCCCTAGTGTCCATCGCCATAAGAAGGGTAAGGAGTCGGGTTCCAGTGTGGCCGCGGCAGAGGATGGAGGCAAATCGGTCTACGGTGAAGCTGAGGAATTGAAGCGAGGCACAGGCAGTTTCATCCTGCATGGCAAGAAGGCTAGCGTCATTACCATGTCTCCAGAATGGCAGCACATGTCCAACGAGGAGAGGTTGAAGTTGAGGAAGGCCGAACGAGAAAACGAAGAGGCGGTTGATGACAAGACTCCCGTATCAACAACGCCCTACAATCGAGACGTCACCCTGGATTCGGCGAGCCATGCTTCTTCGACACAGGCAGAGGAATGGGATGAACGGTTCGGGTCACCAAACTCGAGTCGGAAGCAAAGCTTTGCGACCACCACAGGGGAACAGTTTGTGGATGCGGAAACCGGTGAGGGCGATGGCCCAGTAGAAGTGGCTGGTGAGGTGGGAGTTGAAAAATCTTGATACATAGCTGAGGAACAACTTTCTCCGGCTGTGGGGAGGGGCCCTGGTTTTTTGGGGGGGGCGGGTGCGAGGCGGTGGACGATTGTTACGACTAAACGGATCATGTTCAAAAGGCACGACTTAGAGGAATGGGAATACAAAATGCAGGACGTTGGCCATGTAAGGCTTATTGCGGGGGCATCTGGAGCCGACGAGATGGGATAGATGAGCATTAAATGCAGAGAGACTCTTTGCTACCTTGATTTGAATGGGCAAAAGTGTTTCATTCTTAAGTGTCTTCTTGGAAGGCCTTGTCTGATGGACCCATGAACTTGGTGCCATATCCTCTCTTACGTACTCCCATGTGCTCGATGCGCCGGGCCAAAACGTTCCAAGTCGGTGCCGTCGGACTTGATGATCATCAGGGGGCCCCTCTCCCTCTCCCTCTCAAACCTCGGGCGTCCCCTCGGGGACGTCCTCACCAGCACTCCGGCGCAGAAAGGCCACCGTCTCCTCGACCCTGCTGAGGAAAGGACTATGGCCGCAGCCTTGCAGGACCTCTGTGCGGATTGGCAGGACGGCCCCGTCGGCGGCGCGCATACGGGCGACGACGCGCTCCTGCTTGGCGAAGTCCATGGCGCGGTCGTCGGTGGCCATGAGGTAGTGTATGGGTAAAGCAGTGTAGGCGCTGAAGGTGCAGGTGTCGAATAGCGCGTGGCTGGACATGGGGTTGAGCAGGGCCGACCACCGTTCGCTCTCCGCCGCGGGGAGGAGGTCGTGGTAGAAGAGCTCCGCGGGCGGCGGGGCCAGGATGTCCGGCACGGTTGGGCGCTCGTGCTGATCCGTGTCCACGATGCTCGTGCCCGCCGGGATGATGAACGAGGTGATGGCCGCGATGGCCACGACGGCCGTTGTGTGTCCTCCGGCCGCGGCCCGGCTCTGGCGGTCGAGACCCCTGACGGCGCCCGAGGCGGGTATGCCGCCGTAGCTGTGCGGGACGACGATGACGTCGGCGCCACCGTCGAGTTCGTCCAGGATGGCTTGTCGCACGGCTGCGACGTCCTCGTGGTGGTCTGGCACGATCTCGGTGGGTGCCTTGTGCACTGACGGCAGCGCGGGCGCGACGGCCCTGTAGCCGTGCCGGTTGAGGGCTGTCATCAGCGGCTCAAAGTGGGCTGGTCGATGCCATGCGCCGTGCACGATGACGAAGGTTGGTTTTGACATTGATATTGCTTTCCCTTTTGTTGCCTCCTGGTTGTTGCTGTCGCTGTTGCTGTTGCGACACTGTCTGTTGTGCGCTGTAGTCTTTTTCGTTTCTTGCCTGGTTTTGTCCGCTTTCTCTCTCTGTCTTTTTTTTTCTCTTTTTCTCCCTCCTGTCTGTCTCTCTCTCTCCTCTCTCTCTCTCGCTCACTCTTTTTATCTTCTAAAGTAGTCCTTTGAACGGGAACGCAGGCGAGAGTAAGAAAGCGCAGAAACAGAACGAGGAGAAGGACTGCTAGGAATGAGAGAGGGAAGAGAAAAGAGAAAGATCGTCTTTGTATATGCGCCTACGCTAGACTGACGTGGTACCCACGCTGTTCCGCCATCATGCTGACACTCTTGTCCTCGCCCCCGACCTCGCTCTCAAGAGAAGGGCGGCGACAAAGAGGCGTGCACGAGCATGATCCGCCCTTTCGCCTGAGGCCTGATGACAAATGCCTAAAAAGAAAGGGGCCATATTAACTATTAAGGGGAAGGGAAGGGGGCCTGAAAAGAAGAAAGAAGGAAAAAAGCCAAGGAGGAAAATAATTAATAATAGGAGCGGAGAGAGAGAGAGTGAGAAAAAGAACCAAGATAGGAAACGCCTGCTGAGCGTAATTCTGCTAATACTCCCATGCCACCGCCGGTACATACATCATTACAACCGTGCCTTTGTATACCGTTTCAAGACTTATATACTCCGTCTCCGCGACATGGGGAGAGATCGCTCGCTATGTCCCGGGTACTTTGCACCGCCCACCAGAGGGTACCTAGAGGATAAGGCATGAGGCACAGGGCACAAGGGAAAGGGAGATAATTTGAACTCTGCGAGTTTTGAGAAAGGATCTATAGAATGGACACAGAAGGGAAAAAAGTTTATTACATGGATCTTTCAGAGCTACTGCTGCCTGGGCGTACAATATCACAATATCATCCTCTTCGGAGACCAGCATCGGCGTGAGCATCAACATCAGCGTCAACGCCAGTGTCATTTCCCGAACCCCCCCCAAAAAGGAATTTCAATCACTCAGGACGTCATATCACAACGTATGCACCTCGTCAAGCGGATCCCTCTCCCTGCCTCCCTCCCAGACCTTATCCACGAGCGCCCTTCTCTCATCACTGCGAGGTGTCAGATCAAACACAAACGGCTTTGGTTGGACGTTGAAGCCGGCCGTGTAGTCGTACAGCGGGACTTCAACACCAGGACGCTTGGAGATGTGCGCGGCCCACGCGATCCGCGCGACCAGCAGGTGCAAAGAGTTCTCGGCGATGTTCATCCCCGGGCAGATGCGTCGGCCGAACCCGAAGCACGAGTAGTTTTGTAAGTTGGGGAACTTGTCCAAAGGCTCCCGATACGTCGGGTAGCCTGGCTCCAGCCAGCGGGACGGGTTGAAGGTTTCTGGGTCTGGGTACAGTTCTGGGTCGCGGTGGATGGCCCTATCGGAATTTGAGAAAGAGTGCTTGTTAGTAATTTTCATACGTTTTGTTGGGGCTCCGGGGCTTGCTGGAAGTGAAAGGCGGGAGATGGGAGGCGCGAGGAGAGAACAGAGAAAAAGGACAGAAAGGAGAGCAAGGCAAGCCAATTCTCACCATTGGTTTGGATGGATGTTGGTCCCCGCAGGCAAGAAATACCCATTGTACACATCATCCTTGATCAACTCGTGCGGCACGCCTCCCGCAGTCACCGGGCGCCATCGGAGCACCTCCTTGATCACGGCCCGACATGTCGGTAAAGAGGGAATGTCGCTGTAGTCTGGCACGCGGTGGTCGCCAACCACCTCATCCACCTCCTGCTGGATCTTCGTCTGCCACTCGGGCCAGTGGCACATACAGAGGATGAAGGACATCATGGCGGCGGCGGTGGTGCCGGCTCCGGCTTCAAAGAGCGTGCCGATAACATAGGCGGCCTCGTCGTCCGACAGGCCGAACTCTGCCTGCCGTTCGAGGAACGTCTTGGAGAAACACCGCGGACCCTGGTCGGAGCGCATCTTGTCCCTGACTTCCAGAAGCAGGCCGCGGAACACGTTGATCTCGAATTCGTGCAGCTGCGCCGCTTCGCGCTTGAACGGCGCTAGCCAGCTAGGCAGGTACATCAGGATCGGGAACGTGTCCACCAGGTACGCCCCAGGAGAAGCAACCCGCTCGACGGCGCGGACAATCTTGAGGATGTCGCGCACGTAGACCTCGTCGCCTGTCTCGACCGTCTTGCCGTAGCACAATCGCATAACCACGGCCGCGGCGTATCTTTCAAAGAGCTGTTCGTATTTCTCTGGCGTTCGAAGCAGGTCGTACAACAGCCGCTCCGACTCGTAAATCTGTACGGGCTGGTAAGACGTGGCCGACGCGTGCATCGTCATATTGTGCATCACTTTACGTCCTCGTCGCCATAGCTCTGTATCCCGACCTTCGTCAGTCTCCGGCATGGCCTGGGGCTATGTGGTTATCAGGCGGGAAGTGTTGAGACGCACCTCCATAAGGCAAGAACAGAGGTCTCAGGTCCCGTGACATCAGCCTCGCGGCCATGGGCAACTGTTCTCGAGATGAGTACAGATTGCCTCGCTCCCGCAAGAGGTTGTTGGCGATCTTCTCAGTCGACACCATGACGAGATTTCGGCCGAAGATGGAGATGCGGTAGATGGGACCATATTGATCGGCCCAGGCTTTGAATTTCAACCACGAGTGCTGTGGTGGGATGTCTAGGAGATTTCCCACAATGGGCTTGCCTGTTACAAGATCTACCGTTAGATACCCGTTGTTTGCCTTTGGCAGAAAGGGACAGAAACAGATGAAGACCGGATCAGACAAGGGGGACCCCGGGGGCCGACTTACCCTTTGGGCCGGGCGGCAGTTTCGCATTGGAAGGGATTTTCGACCGGTTGGAATAATGCTGGATGAAAATGCCCACCAGCAAAAGGACAACAGTGCCGGCTGCGAAGAGTAAAGAGGCCATCCCGTTGCTGCTGCTGCCGTTGTTGTTGTTTTTGTTGTTGTTTGAACTCAGTCGACAGGGTTTGGAGGAGGCATATTTTGCTCGGTTATATATGCATTCTTCCTCGTATATGGGCTGATGCACGAGGTTGGTTCACCATGTACTCCCTCCTCTTCCAAGCTTAGCTTGTTGCTTTACTGTACTCCTAGGCCACCCTGAGGCGTCCTATTGGAGTCTTCGGTAAGCAAATAAGCGGGGATCAAAACTTATGCACCGTTAGCACACCAACTCCGCACCATAAGGAAGGTTGTTTATCCAGGGCAGATCTTGCTCAATCCACAACGTCATTGGTGCGAGCAATCTCCCTCTCCCTAGTTTCCTTTTCATCTCTTCCAGGGGCTGGCGACAATCAGACAGAGTCACAGTCCTGAAAGGGTTGACTTCTAATGATCTCAGGTCTGTGTTCGCTCCTGGTCACCGCATCCCGCCGCGTAGAAAGCTGGAAGGCGACAAGCCACCCATGGAGGGAAAATGTAGAGAACTCTACTCGTACATTTCATGGGGGTTATCCCGAAAGGCTGGGGGTGTTCTCTTCGGGAGATGACTGGGCGGAGTGTGACCGGGGATATATTGCTAGAACCTCGGGTTTGCTCAAATCTCCGCTATATCTGTGATTAGAAAATAGTGAATACGGCTAAGGGCCATGGTGATAGATGGGTTGTTGATGATATGGCAAGGGAAGGCACAAACCACTTCGCTAGCAGATGGACTAACGCAAGACCGAGGTCTGGCGAAAAGGGGCAATTCAATGTAAGCTTATCATACCCAAATGGCTGACTCATAATGCCTCAGTTTCGTCCAGACAAGGTTGAATTTGAATAGCAAAAGGACGCTTGTTCTGCAGAGGATAGATCAAGCATCTATTTCGGGCTAGTGAACTCCAAATGCTGCACAATATCCTCTCGGAGAAAGAGGGGGGAGTCCTGTCCAAAGCAAGGGGACATGGTGAGATAAGAGCGTCAGCCTTGTCAACTCCTCGCGCGCTGGGTTGACACTATGCGATTCGCGATGCTCTCGGCACGCATGCTCTCGGCACGCATGCGGTCCTGTAAGAATTGAAAGGTGAAAGGAGCAACGGACACAGGCTCCCTGTAAAGCGGCCGCTGGCTCAGTGCAGAGCATGAGGCAGTGCATCTGGAAACCGTCCTCGGAAACTGTTCGGGTGCTGAGAGACCTCCATTTCTCAACGTCGAATGTGGGATCTCATCCTCTCCGCAAGGTCGGTCTCTCTGCAGCCTTTCTTGCTGCAAGGGCATTGCTCCTGCACCTATGTCAGCATCAGCTCAGTTGCGAACAAGACAGCCCCGAGAATAGGACAAGCGACAGTCAATTTGAGCCACGCCACGGTCGAGTGTCTTAGGACTGCAACTCTCTCTGACGAATCGCGCCCGGACCGCCGATCTACAGGGCCTGCACTTGCGACTTACCTCACATATATGGCCGACATTCCCTGTCACTCCACTCCCAAAACGCTTTCGCAATCCCATTCCCGTCTTCTTCCACACTCATGCAGCTCTTCCTAACGTCGTCTCTGACATCCAACACGCGGCCCCAAGGGCCGATATAACAACCATTCGTCCCAGTGCTCACGTCTTTCGAAAACCCAGAATATAGTTCTGTATATGCACCGAAAATAGCGGGGTACAAAATCAGATTCTGGAAGAACCTCCGTGTGGGAGACACGTAGCGCTGCAACTCGGTGCGAAGATTTCCGGGGTTGAAGCATGTGCTAACTATACTTGGGCCGTGCGTCCTGGACCGTTTGCCATACTCAGAGGCGTAAAACAGATTACCGGCTTTGCTGATGGCATACAGCGTTTGGGGGTCGGTGAAGGGGAGGTCTGGAGCGCCGTCGGAGTCCAAAGACATTCCGTGCTTGGGTGAGTAAAGGTCGATTACCACGGAGCCAGCCCACGACACTCGGACTGTGTTTGGTGGCGAGGCTGCTGCTGTGGAACTGAGGATCGGGTGGAGAAAGTGCGTGAAGAGCCAGGGACCCAGACAATTTGTGACAATGTGCAGTTCATGGCCCTTGACACAAGCAAGAAGGTTAGTTTGGCCGGCATGGTTCGTAGACAAGCTGAGAGGCTCAACGAACCTGAGCGCCCCGGGACCCGACCGGTGCCAGCATGACTCCTGCGTTGTTACAGAGCCAATCCAGTCTCGTCTCCTGACGAAGAAACTCGTCCGCACTGGCTTTGATTGTGGCCAAATCGGCTAGGTCGAGCTTCAGAAATCTGAGCGCCCCCTTTGGTTTTGTCTTTGAGCCGATTGATTCGACGATGGACGAGATCGCTTTCTTGCACCTCTCTTCCGACCGCCCAGCGAGGTACACCGTCGCATTGTGTTGATACAGAATTTTGCAGACTTCAAATCCCACTCCGGCATTTCCACCGGTTACGATACAGACCTGTGTGGACATCGTCGGTTAGGACATGATCATCCTGACGGAGGGTCACGTTGGTCGACAAGTGTGAAATTCTAGAAGTGTCATGTTGAATTTGGTCACGTACTTTTCCGGTCTGATCTGGTAGATTCATCTCCGAAAGTGGAGGTTTTGGAATGAAGAACGACTGGGCCAATGGCCCTTGGCGACTGAGAGCGTGTCCCATCGTTTTATAGAGGCCTGAACTTGTTGTATATCTCAGTTGAGGTGGGAAGCAGGACGTCGAGATTCGGAACAGCTGCAGGACTTTGATCTGGGCCGATTGATGTCGCATGAGGGTTTGTTGCATTAAGGAAGGTCAAACGACGATCCAGTTGAAAGTGCCAGATGTTGTTTCATGTTGTGTCGATCAAGTGTTGTCGTCCAATCAAAACCCAGCTTCGGAGTTTCGCATCAGATGTCATACCGGATCGGCCCACCGAAGCACAGCCTTGCCAACTCGTCTTCGGCATCCATCCCTGTGGCACGATTATGAATGTCTACCCTGGTATCTGCCGCTCATTTCCTGGCAAGCTTGAAATGAAGTCACACGCTGCCTCGCAGTTCACCCGGTTCCAGTGTCACCCCACTTGATAAATAGATCTGAAGGGTCCGAGCTTGCGGCGGGTTTGTCCCAAGCAGATACGAAGTCCGGACGGCCTGCCAGACCGCCGGGGACGTCCAAGCAGCTGTCATGCCCTGTGGGAAGCGCTTCCTGCGTCGTTTGCATGGGATTGGGAGAGAATAAGTCCTCACGGAAGGTTGGAGGGCCTGTCAAAGCCGGAGAATACCACCTTTTCGAGTCCTCAACCAAGCGACGCAAATACACTAGATAATGTTCGGACGGGTTGTGAATGGTAGCAAGGACATCTCCGAATTTCGCCGCAAGGGATTCGAGGTAGTATCGTAGATTCGCCACAGTACGCAGGAGGTTGGCATCCAGCAGGGGGGCATCAACACCAGTGGAGAACCTTCCTAGGACCAGCACGGCGTAGAGCAACCTCAGGAGGTCAGGCGTGGTGAAGTTGAGGATATTGCTCGTGGAGAGAGACAAGAGATGGTCCAGGTACTCCACCGTGGCTTCCAAACACCCGAGCAAGCTATTATGTCGAGCGGGCGAAATGTACCATGGTGAGCTCGACCCCGGAGGAGGCACGCTGAATGCAGGTGGTGGTTGGGAGTGGAAACCGATCTCTTTTGCATAGATCTTGATCGCATGATAAGAAGAAACTACATTAGCTGTAATCTTGTGTCAATGTGGCAGTTCTCCAGATAGCTCACGTTGGGCATACCATTATTCCAGACTTCAGGTGGAAAATCTGTCCGTGACTGTTCTATCTGCTGATCAAATTTGATGCAGAGTGTTTCGATCTTTTCGGAGTCCAGCTCGCACTGTTGATCTGCTCTGTCATATCTAAATGATTGGTTGATGTCTTCCTGAAGTCGCTGTAGGTGGACACAGATCGGAAGAAGGGCATCCGACTCTGCGGCTCCGATCCCTGCAAGCAACTCGCTACATGCGCTGATATAATTGCTGTGTGGAAGATTGTTTGGTTTTCTCATTGTGAAACACATCCTAGAGCGAGATATCAGCCAGTCACCACGTGTTCAAGGTGTATTAAGGGAGAGGCGTACGACGAGGACAGACAATAGCATCCGAGAAGAGCTCTCCTTCCTTCAACTTCTTCGATTGGGAGTCGGGATTTGACGAGTTCTGGGACGAGATTTGCTGGGTTTATTGGTAATTGCTGTCGCACTGGTCTGTCCAAGCCAAGCTCAAGAGCAACAGAATTGGCCGTCTGCAAGAGCGGATACAATTGTTGACGTGCGGGATCGAAGTGGAAATGATACCTACTCCACAGATTAGTCGGTATTGAGGATTCTTAGACCACGAGGCTAACCAATTCAAATAGACCAGGAGCCCCTGGAGGAGATCCAGGCTCTTTTCACCTTCCACAATCAGTTTTCGACTCAATGACTCCTTGAGCTCGGTCTCCAGTTTCTGCTGAAGCGCAATATTCGACTGCGCAGCAAAGGTGAGGATCGAGAGGAGAAGAAATGGCCTCTTGCGGCGAAAAATGTCCAATCCAATCGTGGAATCGATAACGACGAACGGGAAATTGCAAGCCTGGCCCCGAAAGATCTGCAGTGAGACTTCGGCTTGCTCAAAGCTGACATAGCCTTTTGAAATGGCATCTTGAAAGCCATCAAACACAATATTGGAGAATTGGAACGGTGCAATATGCACTGGTATCGGAAACCCCCTTTGCGTGAACGTTGAATATGGGGACTCATGAGGGTTTACTGATGTTTGTGTAATCAACCTAGAATGCAACGGACGGCCAGCAGTATCCTTGCTGGCGGATAGACGAGCCAATATTCCTTCGACCCTCTGCTCCATTTCTGCGATGCGGCTGTGTGCCACTCAGTTAGCTGGAGGATCTGGCAATGCGTCCGAACCCTTACCTTCTGGAGTTCTTCGCTGTCTTCGGTCTCGCCTTTGCCTCGAGAAAGACACATATCTTCCCGTCTCGCGCGCATCTTCAGACATCAATGCTTTGTATCTCTGTACTCGAGCTGGAGCCGTACCTCAAACATCGAGCAGGATCTCCTTGGCTGGGTAAACAACGCCCTTTGACTTCTCGGCACACCTCGCAAGACTTCCGCAAGCGTGGCGTAGGCGTGCCCGTTCCCTGGTGGCTCATCGCTCTTAATGAGCTAGTTGGCTGCATGGATGCGTTCGAGCACAAAGGAGAACCGGTTTCTAATCCCTACCCCGGGGCGGCACGTCTCTATTGGGACGGTTCAACAACATCGGTGAGAGGGCTTGGGCCAGAAGGGCGCTTACATGTGAGCCAACATGTGGGGTAGTACAGAAGAGGAGTGGGAGGCCGTAACGCCTCGACGTGTTCTGATATGTGCTACTCGGTACGGGTGTTCTGCCGTAGCACGGATACAGATCCGCTTCCCGACGTCACTGTTACCGAGGATGGTGGTAAGGAAGCTATTCATTCCCCCCAGCCGGTTGTGGAGCGCGAATGGAAAAAAAGTCGCATTGAACAACATGCGTGCAAACCATCCTTCTCACGACCAACGTCCTCTTGCATAGGCCATTCCATTCTACCTCGTACCGGGACCAACATCGCTGAGCAACCGACAATGGCATCCAAACAAGCTGCTTCATCCTTCCAACAATGTCTCCGCACATTCTCAGCTTCTAGGAGAGCTTCCCGCTCTTCCAGAACTGTCCGCGGAAGCCCGCATCAACGTCATCTGGCCTCGACGCAGCCTCAATCACTTTCCTACAGGTCTGAGGCCTGCGCTCTCTGGATGCCCCGGCCTCGACAACCAAAACGGCACTTTAGCACCACTTTGGTTGGTCGCAAAGATGAACACTCTTCCTCTTCCTCCTCGTCCACTTCTGCCCCAGAACCGCAGTCAAGACTCTACACGTTCACAGACATGCAGTCCCTCGCATCCAGCCCCGACCCAAACCGCATCATCGTCGACGTCCGCGAACCCTCCGAGTTAAAGTCCACGGGCAAGATCCCTGGCTCGCGCAACCTCCCAATAAAATCCGCGGCCGACGGCTTCTTTCTGGGACCGGAGGAGTTCGAAGAGAGATTCGGGTGGGAGAAACCCTCGCAGGATGACGAGGTCATATTCTATTGCAAGGCCGGCGTGAGGAGTCAGGCGGCGGCGAGGTTAGCAGGACAAGCCGGCTTTGGCGGTAAGATTGGCGAGTTTCCGGGAAGTTGGTCTGAATGGGCTGAGAAGGGTGGGGAGGTGGAAAGAGTGGATTGAGACGGAACTCAGTTAAGAGACTGGCGGCGTGACGTGGTACATACCCATAAGTGTCTGATTTGTAGCAGGGTAAGAGAGGGGGACGGCCTCGGAGGGCGATGGTTCCCTCAACGTTGTACAGTTGAGAAAGCCGAAAGGCTGTACTGCGGGCACGATGCTTTCACGAATGATGAAGCGATGATGCCAATGCACAAGCAGCGATGCTGTTCTTCTCGCACCTATCAAAGTCTCAGACCCCAAGTCACGAGTATAGGGACATTTCCGTGTCAACTACTTCTTCGAGGCTCTCTTCGACATTGGGTGACTGCCCAATTTCCAAGCCCTCCATCTCTCTCGCCAGCTTCCCGGGAGGACTCGTCTCCGGGTGGAAGTCCATGTCTTCATCGGCATCTAGGGGTGCTCCGTTGCCGCCACCACCTTCACCTTTACCCGGGTCCATTCCTTCGCCAAACACCTCTTCCCGTCTCCTATCCACAAGCCACTGTTCTACTTTCTCCTCGGTGCGGTTCACGGCGAGCAAGAGAGCCTTGACGCTCAAACAAGCCGTCTCGGCCGCTTCTTCGTGGAACGCCTTCACCACGGCCCCACCATCTGGCTCCCTGTCTAGGTCCTCGATCTTGGGGTATCGCGGGTATCGAGACCCAGGGCGGAGAATGTCCAAGCCGCGCTCACTCTCCTCTTCGAGAGAAATGGCTCGTCGTGACTTCAGAGAGGACTGGACCTCGACAATTCGCGCACGGAGTCGGGAATCCTCTTCCTCGTCGGCCTTCCTGTTCTCTGCCAGTGTCTTTACGCGCTCAGGGACGTCGTGAAGGGGGAACATGTCGAGGATATCCTTCTCGATGCCTTGTTCTTTTGCTTGATCTGAATGCGCGGCATGTTTCCCTGTGATCCACGTCTGTTGGTACCAGTCCATGTATTGGTCCAGTTGTTGGTCCGTCATGTCGAGAACGTCGTTGTCGGTAACGTGAATTTCAGAGCCTGGTTTGAGGGCATTGTGGTCGTCGCCAGCCGCGGTCTGCTTGTTAAAGTTCGCTTTGGCTTCCAGCCAGGCCGGCCAATTCACATGCAGCGTCGTTGGATCATTAGGATCTTGTGGATAGCGCTTCACGGTCTCCGAGTCGAACGGGAAGAGAAACTTTGTGGCAACAACGACGAGAGCGATGAGTTGGCTCTCTGGATACGTTGTTGGCTGACGCCTTGTTGTCTGCGATGACTTTGTAGGGTCAGCGTAGCAAAAATCATACTTTGTAACGATGTTTAGCCGGAGAGCGGCGCTGTAGACCTCGAGTGGCAGAGCGAGTTGACGAATGTAGCTGAAAAGGATGAGATTCCGGTTGATCGGTGGCATTATCATGTCAAAGGAGGTATCGTACCATCTCGCGCGATGATAAACAGCTTTTTGAAGGTCATCAGGTCCCAACAGGTGCATTGTATCCAATGCCTGGTGATACTCTCCCGGCAGGCGGTCTTTCATGTCCTGCGGGACATGTCTGATCGCGCGGATGAATGGAATGTCTTCTTCAACTATCCATCTGTTCGAGGCGAGCTCGCATGAGCGAGGGTTCTCAAAGTTTCAGGTTCGACTTACTTCAGGATTTTAGCCAGTCCAATCGGCCTTCTTAGCATGACGATCCCCAGATAATTCATGGCTATCGTATCAACGAGTGTAGGATAGCTGTGTGCTGACTTAGTCCTCCTGAGAGGCTCATCCTTCTCATCGACATCGGGGTCGATGTCCGTCTCATTACCAGAGCTTGCGGTCGTGTCCTCTTTGTCCTTTGTATCTGCGAGGCTATCACCGAGCCGATGTTCTAGCTTCGAGAGCCACAATGTCCACAAGTCCCGCACAATTGCCTGGGTTATTGTTAGAGAGAAATGCACAGAACGGTGGCAGTCCACAGAACTTATAGCCTGTGTTATGACATACCCATAATTCTGGCGGTAGTCCTTTTTGATGGACGAGGGCGTAGCATTGCTTCCATAGGATAAATTGCCATGATTGAAGAAAGAGTTGGTACGCCTTGGTCCCACGAAGTACTGTTCGACTTTCATGAGCAAATATCTGGTCTGACGCTGAAGGGCTTCGTGGATGACATTCCGAGTCACTTGCCGTTGCATACCTTTGGATATCTTTTGCTTCCGTTTGACCTCCTTCTTCCTCACCACAGTGCCCTGGCGCCCAAAATCTGCGTCGTCCGCGGCAGTTGCAAGTCCCCGACCTTGGTCGTGTCCCCCCGCACAGAAGATTCTACCATCTTCATCGTGAAAATCCGTCGAGCCACATTCGGCACACTCTTCTCCATCCATAGTAGCCAAGTGTAGATGAGCGAAGTCTCGTTGACATGGCGAGCTGTGCCTTGTGAACGGCAATATTCAAGGCGATGAGAGCAATGAGAAGTTGTGGTCCACTATAATGACGCAGAACATTGAATGGGTTGTCGGGACATGGATGTACGACGTCTATGTCGCGTGAGTTTGGGTTCTACAACATGTGCCAAGACTTGGGACGTGGCACTAAACTCACAGAATACATAGATGCCGTATTCAATATAGTCAAAAGAACAACTTTCACAAATGGAGAATTTCAAGTGAGAAAAATCATGTTACATAAGGTCGAGATGAGAGACGGTGTGAAACCAATCAGCGATCGGCCATTTCTGCTTGAAGCGAGGATAATGAAGGCTGAAGCATTAGGTACTGATAGGATGTGCTAAGACCTGTGCACTTCCGAGATGTAATGCAGGTTGCTGTGGTTCGGTAATTGCTCTGTTATTTGTCTAGCTACCACTTTTCAAAATGCAGAAGGCTGCTGATCCATCGTTGAATGAAAAACAGTTGCTTTTTCAGGGCAAGCCACAGATCTATGGCCCAGCTGCCTCTAGGCAAGTTCGTATCTTTTCGCCTACTCGGATTTTCGGCATGTGCGAACTTGCCTAACACCAAAAACGCTGATGTATGACCCGTTATTGCTGATCCATAAATACATCAGTCGTGAAGAGCGAGTCGCAGATCTGCTGGTGGACTCAAAGCCCGTTTATTTGGGAGCTTCCTTAGCATCGACAGCAGCTTCCTCCCCCATCGCAGTCAAGACAATGACATCTGGCAACGCATTAGTGGCCCCACGCGAGAGCATTGCATCTTCGGATTGGGTTACTCACTGGTATCCTTCTCATCGGTGCGGAAGAGTTTCTCAATCTTTTCGCCGACCTCGCCCTCGGGCATCTTGACATCGTCCTTGGTGGAGCCGTCGTCAGACATGAGGGACAAGAAGCCGTCGTCAGTAATGTCAAGCTGCCCTCATCATTAGCATTCTTGGCTTGCCACATCCCGCCTAGCGCCCTTCTCTTACCAATTGGTATTCACGACGAGTGACGTTTGGAACATCCATGTTGTGGGTGGACGGGGAGAGATCTTCCATCTTCCGGCCGGTGAAGATGTCGAGGGCAACCAAGTGGACCTTGGCGTGACCGTGTTTTCCAGTCTTGGAGGTGGACATTTCGACAATCTTGCATGGGCGACCCTTGATGACAACGAAGCCGTTCTTCCTCAAGGCTGAACATTGCATCGGGTAGGTGGCCGACGCCCCGGCATCGGCGGACTCGAAGGTGTGCTCATGCTAGAAACAGGGCATGTCAGTGTCTGGTGCGACAGGGCAGAGAACCCGAGGCGTCAAGGATGTTGCAAATGCGGCGACTGGTTTGCGCAAGTACAAAAGGCGGGGATTTTCATGGGGGAAAGGCTTACCTGCGCGTCGTTGTCCGCCATTGTGGAAACTGAGAAGATGTCGCTTAAAAAAAGAGAGGAAGATATGCAATGATGGGGAGGATGATATCAAACGGTGAGCGACAAATTCTCGAAAGAGAGGGATGGATGGGAGAAAGAGACCAAAGGAACTTGAAGAACCCAGGCCAGTCCAAAGGAAAATATCGTTGTGCAGAAGTGGGATCGTGAACGTCGCAGAGGGGCAACTTGCCGCCCAATCGATAACCCCCCGCTAACCTGTTTGGGGATGTTTCTCTTGGCGCCTCCGCTTCAAGCGTGAAAAACGCACATCACAGACACGTACTGTTGACGTCAAAATCTCGAGAGGTCGAAAGAAGGAGAGAAAATAAGAAAATACCATATTACGTCGTGAATATATCCCGGGTGCGTGATTTTTTTAATTCAATGGCGCCAAACCACATTAGAAATCGCAACCACTCTTCTTGTTCGGCTTTACTATCACCTGGATGCCCTGGGAGTCAAGCCTGGGAAACGGAAGAAAGAAGTCGTGAGCCAACTCCACATCACTATTGTCGGTCTCATACAGCTCGAATTTGAAATACCGGAACATAGCTGCCAGTGTTAAATAGAGCTCGGCGTAAGCGAGGCTATGGTTCGACACAAGACACTGTCAGCACAGGACACATAGGCCGAGGGTGCAAGATACAATATCAAAATTTTAGGAGAAGCACCACTCACTTGATGCCCAAACAAGACCTCGTGCCCTTGCCAAACCCCACAAAGTACCGGTCTAGGCTGGATCCATTCTTGGCTTTTGGTGAGTCAAGCCACCGTTCAGGGACAAAGGACTTCGAGTCAGGGAAGATTTTCTCATCATGGTTGAGAAAAGGGATTGTCATCGAAATCGGCGTCCTAGCCGGAATGGTCCACTCGCCGTATTGGACTGGTTTGGGGAATAGACGAGCATTGCGCGATGTGGTGGAATAGGACAGCCGGATGGCTTCTTTAATGCAGGCTGACAGATATGGAAGCCTCTCTAGTTCCGTCCATTCCAACGGTGCGCTGGGGTCTAGCTCGTTGACATCTGGAATGGCTTCCTCGAGCTCTTTACGCAGACGTCCGAGGACACTTGGGTCGCTTAAAATGTAGAAGGTGGCCACGCCGAGTGCCCAGCCAGTGGTGGCGAGCCCAGCTCCAATTATCAACTGTGCCTCGTCCTGCAGGCGGCGGTCGGATTTCTCACTCAAAGGCAGGTCGCCGCGAAGCAGCTCCGAAAACACAGTTGGGTGATCACTTTTTGCGGCAAGGGCATCAATCTTACCCGCCTTCAAGTCGATGATTTGTTTAGCAAAGTCCTACGCGGTTCATTTCGTCAAAAAAAGGCCATAACAACAGGTATTCTCAGGATTACTCACTCTTTGCATCTTGAAAACAAGGGCATACAATGGTTCCAGCTTGACGAGCCAGGCCTGTGGCAAGCAGTTCAAGATTTTCGGCACCAAAGGGAATTGCAGCGACATGTTCCCACTGAGGCTGACGGCCCTGAATGGGTCATGAAGAATAGGTGACCAGCCAGGAACATCAAGGCTGTTGTAGTCATGAGCAAAACAGTATTCCATGATAACGTCTTCCGCCAGGGCCATATAGCCCCGATTGACGGGTAACGGAGCGCCAGACTGCTGATATTCTCGTCCTTTGGCAATCAACTTGTTGAGCTTCTTGCGGATGATAACCTGGAGATCGATAATTCTCTTTCGCGAGAAGAAAGGGTTCAAAGCGTTTCGTCGTATGCGGTGCAACTCGTCTGGAGCAGTACTCAGGACTGAGTTCTCGTTCCCGAAGCGGCCGGACATCCAGGCGTATTTGTCCACCCTTCCAGCCTTTGTGAAGATGGTTTCCCAGAAATCTGAGTCTAGAATATGGACCTCGTCCGGCGTGATGCGAACAATTGGTCCTGCAGCACCCGCGCGGGCAGGTCAGGCCCGAAACTTGTTTTGTGAGACATTATAGAAACGACATATAAACGCACCGTACTTTTCGTGCAGGGCTTTTATGTGAAAAATAAACTTCCCCTGCAAATGAACATCGTAGTAGTATTCATGCCATCTGCTTACTGCCGCGTACTTGGGCCCTGGGAATCGGGCTAGCGGGTGACAGTATAGTCTGTATATGACAAGCCCGTAGACGTATGTGAGGCAGATCAGACCCGAAATGATCAGGCTCGAATACAAGTAAGACATTATTCGTCAATATGGCCAACCCTTTTACAGGACAACTTCTTTGGCGAGAAAGCCACGGGAAACCTACAAGGTAATGGGCAGACAAATGCAAAGAAAAAGAAACAAGTGGCCTGTGGAGATTGAATATAGAGGTCGAAGTTTTGGATTGCCAGTTGCCAGCACAGCGTCTACTTTTCTTACGGCGTTTGTTCACTGTTCTCTGGAGATGTAACCCAGAGCGCTTCTCTTCCCATTCGTGAGCTCTCGGCCTGTATCTCTAATCTCTGTGTCGCTTAGATATTCGCGTAGCGGGGCGAGAGGGCGCTTCAGCGGGGCCGCCCGTATTTGCGCTTCGCCCTGGCTGTGGAAGGCTACTGCGAGACAAGTTTTGACATCACACTGGTTTCTGTACTATACTTTTGTCGTAGGTGCAGCCTCTCAGAGACGGAGGACGTTTACTAGGTACTTTGGTAATTGTACACGAATAGCCTTTGTATTTCCATCGTCCCCTGGCAACTCGGTGACCGTGAACTCACCATTTTGCTCGCCCTCGGCTCATCTTCTGCTCCTGCGAGTTCACTGAGATTCCTGACAGGGCCCTTGGCCCACCAGCCCACCAGTCTGCCTGAGCATTATCCTTCAGTCAAGATACTTAACTGAGGTCAACTTTAGTAGTCTTTGGACCATGAGACCGATGCCACTGTCCCCACGGCGCTCCTGTGCTTATGCCCACGGCCTATTACTTGCCTTCTCCCACTCGCTGTAGTCCGTTGAGCATATAAAAACCGCTGTTCTCTCACCATGCAATATTAGCCTCTACCTAGGTACCTTTTCTTGTTTAACATCGACCATGGGCCCCAATACCGCAACTTCGCTTACAACACACCCGCCACCTCTCTAGGGCACCAACTGGCACACTACTGAGACACATGTCCGCGTCTCTTCAGCATTGGCTGCCGCATTCTCCGCATTCTACGCGTTCGACACTGCTGAGCAGCATAAGAACTACGGCCAAAAGATGCATCAGTGACGAGGGGAAGATTGTGGGTATGTACTTACTTGATGTAACTTGATATAATCCGCGTCCTATTAATAAAATTCGACAATTGTATTCTCCTATCCAGCAAACAAGATGCCGAAGAAGGCGGGAGAAACTGACCTGAGGGAGATGCCGCAAAATATCTTCATAATGTCGATACGATGGTGGCGCATGCGCTGGGTTTTTTTAGTGCAGTTACCTCTATAATGTCTAAACCAATTCTCCTCCTACGACAACGGCCCCAATGAAGGCTATCGAGCTTGTGCCAGCCTGGCAAACATTGTTGCAAATGTCAAGTCCTCGGTCGTAATGCCATTCTCCGAACTCTGGGCCTGCTTGCCACCTTCTTCTCCAACCGGGCTCACCAGTCCCTATGTCGACTGCCTCTTCTTGCATTTCATTCTCGGGACCCTTACCGAGACTCTCACCGCCTGGTCTGCCATGGAGCCCTTCGTTCCCCACTCAGTCCGGACGCTCGGCATTTCCAACATCTCCCTCCCTCGCCGGCGCACTCTCTATGATTCCGTGGCCATTAAGCCCTCCACCGTCCAAAAACCCTTCAGCGCCGGGAACAATTTCGACAGCGCTGTGCGAGCATTCTGTTCTGAGAAGGGGATTACTTATCAGGCCTTTTTGGCGGTGAAAAAGAACCATGCGCTCTTAGAACGGAGGGTGTAGGGGAGCTTGCGGATGCATTGGAGATTGAGGGAGTCAACTCTGATAGCCTATAGGGTTAGTGATAGCGAACGATGTGGTGGCTGTTGCGGGGAGTGTGAGTGAGGCGCATTGCGGGCGGACGTCTAGGGAATGGAGGCTCTAAGAGCGTGGCGGGAGGGGGGAAATCGAGGGTGGTGGAGGAAGATAGTGAATCGGTCTGGGTCGATCGCTGGAAATTAATTCGTTTTTCATCCAAAGCGTGTAGTGTTTCGCAGCACCATCCCACTCGTACCGCCTCCTCTTATTTCGAGAATAAGAGAACCGAAGGCATAGAAGCCAACCTGCAAACAGTGATCAGCGTTCGGCGACATCTTGTTGAACTTCTCTCCTTCCTTGTATTCACCATGAGACGAGAAAGGCTTGTGATGAATCCCATGTCGTTTGCGATGAAGTAGATCTTGTAGTGTAACAAGGCGAAGTGGCCGTGCTGGGGCTGGTAGAGGGGCTAGCAGGGAGAATTATCTGGTCACATGTCAAACCTAGAAATGAGCTGGTAGGGGGAGTGCGGAACAGTTCACAGTGCTGGAGTGTGCCATTCTTTACAGTTTGAGGTAGAGTATCATGAATTCATGGCTTTTTGGTGCCGCCTACCTATTCCCTGAGTGTTTTATCAGTCCTGTCCAGCTTCTCAATGCCGCCGCCGTGTTAGGCGTTCGTTGCCCTAGCCGCTACCTCTCTGGGTGGTGTTTGGTGGTGGTGTTGTTCTGTCAGTGGCAAGAGAAAGGCGTTCTCGCTTCCCGACCTGCTGGACAGGCCTTTGTGCGTTGTTGCACGTGAACGCCAAACCCTGAAGTGCTCTGTTACAGTAGTATTGAACGTCTTGCCCGGTATAGAGACCACGTGCCGCAAGACTGTTCCGGCCCTCGAACCAGGTAAAGGTATCGTGTTCATAGTGAAGAGCGAATGTTTCTGGTTCGATTCCTTGGAAGTTCAGTTCAAAATTGTTGTGCTTTTGAGGAATTTATATGCGCAGAGATCTGATGGAGTCCATGTACGCACAAGTGAGGTCCCAGACGTTCGCTGTTTCTCCAGTTCAGTCAGAACTTGGCTTTGGCAAGTTAGTCCAGTTTCGATTGTCTTCTCCATCCAGTGCAGATAATCGTTCTTGTGCTTGAAGTCAAATAATTCTTGGGTGAGAAGCTGGCCCACCTAGTCTGCATTATCACTCAGGGACAGTGTATTTGGCAGCACGACGATGGCACTTTCGCCGTCAGGGAACAGATTGACTGAAGACAAAGCGCCAGGCAAGCTCCCATAATGTGAGATGACTGTCCTAGGTGAATAGCCGTGTCCAACGATTGGCTTCTCCCCGATACTGCCGTGCTTTCCGCCAATTTGGCTCATTGCCCCCTGCAGTGTGCTTCGAAACCAGCCAAATGCATACGCAGAGTCATGATAGCCTTTCTCCTTGGGAAGATTTGCATGGGGTGACAAGATTTAACAACTGCTTGAATGCAGAATCGGCTGTTGAAGTCCCGCCTGACCTGGACTAGTCCAAAAATGCTCACAAAAGCCCCTGGTAGAAGAAAAAAGGCAGTGAATCTCTAATACAGCTCTTCACGGATTGTGCTGATCCCACGGGCTGCCTATCAGGACTTTGATATGATTGATCCCTACAAGAGTGGCGTCGTCCAAGCGATATATGCGAGAAGGAAATGTTGTCAAAGTCAGCAAAATCTTCATCCGTGGTATACGAGGCATGTTCAAGGGCCAACAGAAGTGTAATGAAAGCAGATACGACCTGTGTCGGTGGCAGGGGTGCCCAATAACATGGTCATGTGAGAAGGTGAACGGCGACGCGGATTCCGCGCATCCATACGCGTCCAACCGCTGCTCTACTGGTATATCCCTCCTCGATCCTTGAGAACTATTTCAACCAATTTCCAAGACCCCCAAGGACCCCTCAGGAGCTTCAGGATGGTGCAGGATATGTAAATGCTAGTGCCTGGAATTCCACACTTTCTCGATTGATGGCACGTTCCAGCTCGTCCGCCTGAGCAAAGGAGTACATGTGGACAAACTCCAGGGGATTAGCCATGTACTTCCACAGTTTGTCCCGTTCTGAATCTATTGATTTGGCCTCGTTGCTCGAGTCGAAGTTTCCAAGGAAAAACATCTCGTCCGGGCGCTGTCGAGATAATACCCGCGGAATCCCAGTGTATATTTTTGAAACATCGTCTCGCCAATATAATCTCTCTGGATTATATCGACCTTGACGAGATCATTCAGACTCATGCTCTGACCGTCACCAACGCAAGCCGCGAGTTTCCACCTCCTGCAGCAGGCACCAAACGCTTTTCTTGGCCAGCTCACCTGCACTATTAGCAGCTCGATGGTTTGCTCGACGAACTTCGAATGTCAGCCCCAAGCCTCCGAGAACACGGCTACGCTCCTGGATGGGCGAGATTTCAGCTTCCAAACGAGCAGGGCCAGATCTCGCTTAAACCCCCTAATTGGCTCCAAGTCCGTCGCTGACAAAGGGGGACCGTCGAGGATAATCGCGTCTCACCTTGGCAGCATCTCCAAGAGCACATCGTAAGGGTATCTAGTCCCATCTCCGTAGTCCGCTCATCATCGTGCTGTAGAATAGCCTGGCTACCAACGACACCGCAGACCTTTGCTGTCAGGCGCTGTTGGAAGCGTTACTGTGCACCCATGAACTAGTGACTACGTCGCCGTTGCCTCGGCATACACAGCCATCGAGGTAGCGCATATAGACTCTATCAAGGATGAACTAGACTCGAAACGGAAGCGGGACGCCTCAGCGAGGCTGTATGTGGGCAGGTACCACAATGCAACCGGAAACTTCTGCATTTGACTTCTTCGTACTTGAAAAACACAAGACACTGAAAGATGAGCTAGCAGAATCTTGAAGCTAAGACGTATACACTGCAGCATTACTACGAGGACAAGCTTACGTGGTGGGCGCCCTACGTCGAGGTAGCGCGAAGGGGGAGATACTATGGATTATCTTGCCGAGTACTATGTGCTGGAGTTCTCTCCGGCCCAAAGCGAGGACAAAAAGGGCGTTGAAGAGGGCGTGCAGATGGAGTCGTTGAAGAGGGCGTGGGACTCGGCTATGCCCTATGATGCTGAACCCTTTCGCCGAAGACGGTTATGAGCGATTACTTCTGAGAGGGACTGGAGCAGACTGAGTGCCATCTATGCAAATAATAAGGTTTGCTCAAAGCCAATGGAAAATGGCGGCTGGGGACTGCAGCGTAGGTGCAGGCTCTTGCAAGGCTAACTGAGGCATAACTGAAATAGATGTTTACATTGTGAGGCCAGTGTGGCCGATCGCAGAGAGCAAGGCCATGCAGCAGGCCATCTTATAGGTCTCGGTGCTGCTCAGGGGGGCTGCGGAGTTAAACCCGCACAGATATTTCCCAGCCTTGCCAGCTTATCCGAACACATACCGAGAGCGGGTCAGCCTGTGGACGAGCTTCCAAGGTCAGGCTGAAGCGCTCAATCAAAGCTTGCAACTTGCTATAACCGAGACGCTGGACTGTCATAGCCTGCGACCGGACCCTCCTTCTGCTTCCAACCCGCAACAAGGTCTTCCACCACGACAAGCTCGTCTTGACCCCAAACAACACCGCCTTCGAGCCCACTGATCACCCAGCCTTCGTCCGTCTTGTCAAACACACGATATGAAGGTACACCGCAGACACCTATATCGAAAGCTCCTTGCGTATTAGTTCGCAAAGTGTCCTTGACTTGTGGAGAGGAAGCCTTTTTGAGCAGGCCTGTGGCATCGCAGCCTGCCGTGGTGAGGTATTCGGCCAAGACTCTATCGTCGGAAACGTTGACGTCGCGCTCCCAGCACGCTCGGACTATTTAGAACGCTCCGTGGTTAGGGTGGTGAACGAAGGAACAAGGCTTGTAGGGAAGAATAACTCACACAGCAGCGGGACCAGATTCGGATCCACGATCGCGCAGCGCAAGGCTGTGGGCGTTCGGATCGGAAACTGGCTGGGCCAGCGGAATTCGATCGGCTTATCATGCGACCCTCGTTGCTGGTTTATACTATTCCAATGGCGGATCCAGTCACCCAGATCTTGACGCATGTAATTCCTTTTTGCTTGCGATATAGCTGCCATGGGGACATTAGGTGCGCCAACTCTGATATGCAGCGCGGATTAGTTTCTAGACAGGCCTGTTCTCAAACGGTGTCAACTTACGCTTTGAACAGCGCGCCCAACAGTATCGGCTTCATGACAATCTCGACGTCCGGGCCGAATTGTCTCTTCAACCGGTCAAGCTGTGTCCACCCGAGAAACGCCCAGGGACTGCTGAAGTCGTACCAGAACTCGACGCGTTTTTGGCCAACCGAAGGTCCTGGCAGACATCGCGGCTGCAAACTTGCAAGACGGGGGACTTGGGTGTAGTCACCACCTTGTCTCAACGCGAGAAGTGCTGCCTCCACAAAGTGCATGCGATCTTGTCCCCAGTAAAGCCGGCCTTGACGAGCCTTGCCATCGGCATCCACCCAGTTCTCCTCAGCCACCCAGAAAGAGGGTAGTCCGGGCGCACCACGAGCGATAACTTCTGCGGTCGCCTTGCGGAGCGCGTCTTGAGCGTCCTTGTCGTCAAAAACAGTCTCAGAAAGCCGCGAGGCGCTGGGAACGCCGCTGCGCCGCGCCACGTCTAACAGGACTGATCTGTCGGTGATGTCCAGGTCTTCAACCCAGTACGCTCTATACAGTGCCTGACTGAGGGCCGGGCGTTCCTCGACTGGCACATAGTATAGCAGACGAAGTGCTAGAACGGGACTTCTCGGGTGGACAGAAGGCCAGCTGATCTCGACATTGTTGCGCTGCAGTGTCCGGCGCAGCGCCCGCGACGTGAGGCGTTTCTTCGTCGGATTGAAGACATCGGACGCCGAACCAGCGGCGCCCTGAGGCGCAGCGGTTTCTCGATAGATGGCGCCCAGCAGGACGGGCGTCCAGACGAGGTCAGCCTCGGTGCGACGGGCGAGGACTTCGACGCTAGCCGACACAAAAGGCCACCCGAGTCAGAAAGCTGGAATATTCTGGGGAGGACCGAAAGGGACCTGGCATTGATGAAACAAGCATCGATCGCCTACCGAAGCGCGCCCATATATGCGAACGGACATGTTATCTGTATTGTAGCCAGGATCAGACCAGTGGACTCGACTTTTCAAGCGGATCGACCAAGGGTGCGAGAAACAGCAGGTTACATACATCGTAGTAGAATTGAAGCGTTGGCCTGTCCTTGCGGGCCATTTCTAGGTGTGAGGGCTCTCAACTAGACAGTCCTGCAGGAAATAGGTGTATGTGAGACGGATAGATGAGTCTGGATATTATCACTGCCTGGTAGTTTAGTGTTTTGAGCAGCGGGAATATGACGAGGAGGATGGAAGATGGACCTCGGCTTGCCGGTATTCGAGTATAAGCGGCACCAGCGGGGTCTCAGAGACAGCCTCACCCGCCTCACTGGCCTTATAGTCTGTACAGCCTCGCAGCCTAGCGGCCTTTCTACTGGGCGGTAGGCCCAGATTCACTCTGAAAATGTATCCAGAGGATCCACCCCAAAAGACAGGGAGGGTGGTGCTCCCCTTGCGGATCGAACACGGTACATATTAATGCGATGAATACGACGGTTGAGACTCTGGAAACTCGGGTGTCGGCGTCTGACCAGACCCCATATAGCTTCTGATCTTTCTCTAGCAAAAGCTCCCTTGAATGCAAGATCTTCGTTAGCTACCGGGCAATGGCTTCACCTCGACAGAGGTCCGTGGGACGTTCTTGGCGATCTCCGTCTTCACTCCCGTCTTGCGCCACCCACCCAGCGTTGCGGGCAACACCTTCAGCGCTGGTTCGAGGAACCCGTCGTGGGCCAGACACACCAGGACGTCCTCTCTCTGGCTGAGCTCGTGGAGTTTACCGATGGTGGCCTTGGCCGTTTCAAGGTCCTTGTGCATGGAATACGCGCCGTTCGGCCCATGTCCTTCTCCCAGCTGGCCCTCGCCCGTGAATATCTTCCTGTGGTGGCAACAGTCGCCGCCCATGACCACGTACTCGTCCACACCCGTACGAGCAAGCCCCATCAGATGACCTGGCATGTGTCCTGGAGCATCGAGGAGAAGAAAACTTCCATCTCCAAAGAAGTCGAACGCCCTGGGGAACGGACCGAACGGGATCCAGCTGTCTTCCTCGTACGAAAGTTCCCGAACACTGGGATGTTCGAGGATGGACCCGAGGAAAGGCGAGTCTGGGTTCGTCGGGTAGCCTGGGTATGCAGCCGCCTTTGAGCCTGGACCAACGACAACCTGACTGCGCGGAAACTCGCCCGGGTTTCCAATATGATCAAAGTGAAGATGACTGTAGACCACATAGTCGATCGAGTTTGCGGAAATGCCTGCCTCGTCGAGCAATTCAGCAGCGCTCTTTGGCACTTGCGGCTCTGTAAGAACAAATTCTTCTCGAATGCATTTGGGATATGCCTCTAAATCCTGGACAAGTGTTCAATATACCTTCCCTCGAACCTGTGCTCTGGAGACCATACCTTGCGAATGCCCAAGTCAAACATTAGACTCCAGCCGCTTGGCTCATGGTGGACGTAGAAGCTGTAGTCCGGGTACAAGCTCTTCGTCGCATGGTCTGAGCCAGCAAGGATCCATTTGTCAGGCAAGAAGAGCTGTCCCGTGGGCACCAACGAGACCTGGACGATCTGTTCTGCGTGAGTTCCGTTCTCCATGGTCGTAAACTGCTTTTGTGGCAGGGCGTACAGCAGACTTCACATGTTGCCGGCTCACCGAGTAGAAAGACCTTTATCGAGTTCGACGTTGGTCTGTCCAAGCGGCTCCCCGCTACGGACGAACACCGCGTTCGATTGCTTGCCCAGCTCTCTTCATCTCAAGCTCCGACGGGGGTACCCCCTTTCACCACAGTGAGACGAAGATATGGCGAGCTGCCGGAGGAAGCCTTCGGGATCTGATCCCGAAGGTCACAGAACATTTTTCATTAGAGGTGAAGCCGCGGCTTGGACGGCAAAGCCACAAAAGTTCTGCAATTGGACGGTGCCTTTGGTAGCTCCCTGTGGAGAGGGGAGATGGCTAGCGAGGCCGAGAGAAGCCTAGGGTTAAGGGTTGGGGTTCCAGGGTTAGTTAATGCAGCCCGCTAATCACCCTCCACAATCCCCGCAAAGGCAGCTAAACGCACAGGCAGCACGTGGAGAAATTGGGGTGCGAATTGTGGGCTACTAGGCTGTTGTGGGATTCTATGTACCTACTAGGCAGGTCGCGGGGGACTTGAGCTTAGACTAGATCCTGCAGTTTGCCGCATCCTCGTGATAGTGATACTCATCCTCTCTGCGCGCCCGTCCCTGTCTGTCAAGTCCAAGGCTCTGTCTCCTTCGAACACACCAAGTCTCCTCTGCTGGATACACACTTGTCGCTGTGGTATTCAGCGCCCTCACTGCTGAAACTTGCAGGACAGACGGTGATGGACCAGCTCCAAGATCTCGACTCCAGCCATGAAACCACATATCCCCCCTCGAAGCGACGACGCGTTGGAATGGCTTGTATCCCTTGTCGGACGAGGAAGGTGAGGTGCGACGGGACCCGGCCAAAGTGCTCAGCCTGTTCACGCAATTGCACCACATGCGCATATCAGCCTGCCAGTCAGATGGTCAATGTCTCCCGAGAGTAAGGAGCCCTCCAGCGTTGTCTCTCGTCACCACTCTGACAAAATCATAGGTACATAATGAAGCTCAAGCAAAGAGCAGAAGCGGCGGAACAACGTCAAAGGTTGGAGAATCCTACCGACCACAGTCAAGCTTCGCCCCAAAGACGGCAGGATCTCCAGCGCCGCGAGTCTGCGAGGCATCCCCTTGAGGAAGCCTCCTCAGGTCCATCGGACCCAGTCTCATATTTGCGTAACAACAACATAATCCGAAATCGAGGCATTGACCGCGCCCAAGGCCGAATCTCGTCAGATTCGATCAGCGGTGCAGGTACCGTCACCCAACCCGATAGACCCTCCATTCACGGTCGTTCACCACTAGTCCTAGAGCTCGACGAGAATAGGATTTCGAAAAAGGACTTTCCTTCGAAGGCCCCTTCTGCGGGGAGATCAGAGAAGACGCAATCATGGTCTCTCCAACCTTGTCATGAAAGCGCCCCAGATTTTGAAGAGCCAAACCCCGATGACTTTTACGGAGACTCGTCCACCCTTTCTTTCATGCAGGCTGTTCAAACAACCATAATCTCGAACTCTTCTCCGGATTCAGTATCGCCAGAATCAAATTATCGAAGTGGAACAAAGCCACGCCCAGCCAGAGCAGTCTCATTTAGGTTTGGGGTGGAGAATTGCTTGCCTCAGAGATCGCTTGCTGACGATTTGGTAAACTCTTACTTTCGCTACGTCCATATTCTGTACCCGTTCTTGCACCGGCCCTCATTCGAGGCCCAGTATGAACGTACGTGGGTCTCAGGAGAGCAACAAGACGATCAGTGGCTTGCTATGTTGAACGTCATCTTCGCTCTTGGGATTCATTTCGCCTATGGACAGGAAGATAAATCCGCGGCGAGTGATCGGTTCTTTGGTTATGCGCAGAAACTCGTGTCGATGGAACAGTTTGCTCACGCAAATCTGCAAACGTTACAGCTCCTTTTGCTCAGCGGCCTCTATTACCAGTCCACCAGTCGACCAAATCAGACATGGAACGTGATAGGGTTAGCAATAAGGATTGCCACTACCATTGGTGCTCACGTCGATCCCATGCCGTCTCAATATAATCCCTTGCAGATTGAAGTACGAAGGAGATGCTGGTATGGGTGTATTGTACTGGATTCGTGGGTACAAGTGCTATCTTCTCGCGGGAATTTGCTAACCACTTCAAGAGTTTTAGCCCTTAACTTCGGACGTCCTACTGCCATTCCAAGCACATTTGGCGTCTCGCTGCCTTCAGATCTTGACGATGAGTATATCACCGAAGAAGGCTACCTTGAACAACCAGGACATGTTCGGCCCAAGGCCACGGTCTTCACCAAGTCGGTGGCGTTCTGTTCCATCATGAAAGATGTACTATACACCCTGTACTCGCCTCTCAACGGTTCTGGCCATCGACATAGCGGCAAGGTATTTCAGCCTCCCGAGTTCAAAGATGCTGTCAGTCTAGACAAGAGCTTGGTTGAGTGGTTTCGAGGGCTCCCAGAGTACTTGAAAGTAGGAGCCTTGGACGAGATGGAAGAATTCCGGCGGACCAGAAATATCCTCCTCGCTAGGTAAGCTGGGGGTCACTTTGTGAGCTGTATGGCTAACTAATCTTTGCAGATTTCTGAACCTAAGAGTTCTGATACATCGACCATTCGCTTCTCTTTGGCAGCAGTCCTCTGTCATCTCTGAGCCGGTGTACCTCGCTTCTCTTGACAACTCCCTTCATTCCATGTGCGTCACAGTGTGCAAGTCAGCTGCTATACAGCTGGTGAATGTCATCAGCAACAATTATTATCAAGGGCTGTCAAGCGCTTGGTGGACAGATATGACCTGTAAGTGCACAAACGTACCGGCCCCGCTCGCAGTTGTGCATTCTCGCATATGAGCATGGCTTCAGCCCTTCCGCGAGAGCCTGCCATCCTGACTTGTTGGTAAAGGCTAACGACATCACCCTTTGGACAGATCTATTTACTGCAGCAACAGTTCTGCTGGCCATAGAGTACGAATGCGAGGACCCAGAAGAGAGCGATGTAACCGAAAGGGCCTTTGAACAAGCTCTTATAATTCTGGGTGAGATGCAGGGGCGCTCTTCTATGGCATCATCATATGTCACCATGTTGAAGAAGGCGAAAGAAGCCCAAGACTCCGCACAGATAGCCCCGATAGCCCCGACCTCATCGCCAAGAACGCGATCAAACAATGCAGCACCCAGAAATTCTGGTTCCGCCTCTGAGATCGCGTCTAATGGGATCAACTTGGACGAATTTTTGAAAGACGACGCCCGAGCCGACGCACCTTTCCCGTCGTGGAACATGCAAGACTTTTTCCTGGTGCCTTGGGATATGATGATGGTAGACAATCCCATGCCCACATTCCAATCATGACGGCTCAGATGAGATGTCTAACACCGTAGCTTTCGCTTTGGATAATCCAGAAGATGGTTCTCAACGCACTTTGGGAGCGAAATCTATAGTCCCACAGCTCCGCCTTCTACCCATTTCTTGCATTGCCAGTATAGTTCATCATGAGCTCTGCCACAGTCGTTTTCGCCTTCGCGTCGATGGCCAGGCATGTCCAATTTCACCTTTACTCCCATGACGGCCTCCTGACAGTATGCCAGATAGCGATACCCTACAGGGTACTTGTTCCACTTTTCGTCATCCAACACCGGTACCTTACAAGGGTTGACGGGGATCAACTTGTCTTTTTCGTACCAGTGCCGGACGAAGCGAGCAGCCCACGCGCCGGTGATCGAGTCTCTCTCCCAGAAAAAGCAGAACCGGCAGTCCGATTCTGCGTCGGCCTCTACCCCATCAAGGTTAAATCGCTGAGTGATTGCGGCTTTCATCTTGGTCACAGCACGCGTGGCTTCAGGGTTGATGTCCGTCGTCGACCCGTGGACCCGGTGCATTATAAAAGCGCCCTTGTCCATACCAAGCTTCGAGGCCTCGATGAAGTCCCTGTAGGGCATGCGACCCGTCCACGTCGTGTACACGTACGCGTCCGGGTGGAAGATTGACGCAAAATTCTCCCATTCACAGGCATCTCTGGAAGAAGCTTGCTGTCAATAGAGATCTAGCTTGAGCCTTTCGCTTTTCGGAGAGGAAGAGCCATACCTGTAACAGGGCCACCCTTCGGCCAGTTCGCGCAGCTTGTATCGCTGTAAAGCGAGGTCGTTAGGACCGTTGTTGCGAACTGCACTGTCTGGTCGAGAACCGCTGGGCAGGGAATGCAGGTCGACCATCGTTCCTGGCTTGTCTGACCAGAGGTACGCCCAATTCCGCTCAACATCACGGGGCTTATGTCTCTTCTGGCCTACTATGTCTGGCGAGTCTACCCGCAGAGAAAGGAGTGAAGCCTCGCCCCTGGATGCCGAGCAATGTGGCGCTAACCAGATTATATTTAGCGTGATATCGTGAGAGACACTGCGGCATCTCTCTCTATGGGGAACTGCCCACAAACATCGCCTTCTAGTTGACTTTGACAATACGGTCAATCACGAACAACAAGTTCTACAAGCAAAAGCTCAACGGTTTAAGGCGAACACACATGCCGAGCCGACCGATGCCTTCTACCCGGCACACAGTATGTATTTGGCGCTCGGATAGCTGGCTTCACGGTGCACGCTTTCGGGAACAGATCCCGCAGTGCCCGCACAATCGATTCTGCCACTTCCCGCCGAGCGCAGCTCGACATCCGAGGCTAGAAACGGAGGCGCGGGCAACGCCCGGGAGGCCAATGAATTGCGCTCGCGAGGTTTAGGGGCCCATCTACCCCAGAGCCATAGCCTCACGACCCATGGGAAGCATTGTTCCAGCGTGCCCATGCCTTCTGGCCCGTATGTCATCCGAGACTAGGAGGAGTTCTTGGGAAGACAGCACGATATAACGGCTATGTCTGGACGTCTGGGAGACCTTCTCCGCAAAGGTTGCAACATATGGCAGCATGGCTTCACCGAGAGTTGTTGACATCGCGATTGACACCGCTTCTTATGTCCGGTCACATCTTTGGTTGACCTTGGCCGTCTGTGGCTTGCTTTATTTCGTTTCTCAAAGGTACAAGACTGGTCTCCGACACATACCAGGACCATTTGTCGCGAGCTTTTCTGGCTTCTGGAGAGCCTGGGAGGTCGCCAAGGGAGCCTGGCATATCAAAAACCTTCAGTTGCATCGGCAGTATGGTCCGCTTGTCCGCGTCGCCCCGAATGTCGTCAGTGTCTCTGACCCAGACGCACTTCGAATCATCTACGGACTGAACAGTGGATTTACCAAGGTCTGGAGAGCCATGCTTCTAATTTAGATGGACAAGTCGATGATAACAGTTGAGCAGACAGACTTCTATCCTATCCAGGAAATGAAATATGGTAAAATCTACTTGGCGAATCTCTTCTCTACAAAAAGCGATGAGTTTCACGCAAAGCAGAAAAGGTCTGTTGCGAGTGCGTATTCAATGACCTCCATGCTCGCCTTTGAGCCATACGTCGACAACTGCTCCGAACTCTTTTTCAAGAGGCTCGATGAACTCTATGTCAACCCTCATCAGCCTTGCGACCTGGGTAAATGGCTCCAGCTTTACGCCATGGACGTGATCGCGGAGGTCACTTTCGGCAAGCGATTTGGCTGTATGCAGGAAGGCGGGGATGTGGGCGGCTTGATTGACACCATCGACAACTTCTTGGTCTACGCATCCGTGGTAGGCCAAGTTCCATACCTGCACAAATTTCTCTTCGGCAATCCCCTGCTCCCGTACATCATGCCCAAGCTGGATAGCATCAACCACGTGGTGAAGTTTACACTGGAGCGAATCGCCGAGCGGGAAAAGGACCCGGAGAGGCACAAGGACTTCTTGGGGAGACTCTACGAGGCAAAAGCGGAGGGCAAAATGGAAGCCGTCGACACCATCCGCCACAGCAGTGCGAACGTGTTTGCAGGTAGTGATACTACAGCCATAGCGCTTCGGTCTGCGATAGACGGACTTTTGACGCATCCTGAGTGTTACCGCAAGCTTCAAGCAGAGATCGACCAGAAGAGAGCCGAAGGGAAGCTCTCACTGCCAGTCAAGTACGCGGAGGCACAACAGATGCCGTATCTCCAGGCTGTGCTAAAGGAAGGCATGCGATATCACCCTTCAGTATCGTTCCTGCTGGAAAGGCATGTTCCCAAAGGAGGCACCGTTATCTGCAACACCCGAATTCCCGAGGACACGATCGTCGGCATCAATGCGTGGGTGGTCCACCGCGACCGCAAGGTTTTTGGGGAAGATGCCGACGTCTTCCGACCAGAGCGGTGGCTGGAGGCAGACGAAGCGCAGCTCAAAGCGATGGAAAGAGCATTCTTCGTGGTATGTATTATGTCCCATGATCTTTCAAAACGCCCTTCCCTCCTTTCACATTCCAAACGATTTTCGTTTCCGTCTACTCTCCCTCCTCTCTCCTTTTTCCCCGCCAAACTAACGCATGCAAAATTTCACGGCACAGTTTGGTGGCGGTTCGCGGACTTGCACGGGCCGCAATATTAGCCTAATGGAGATGTCCAAGGTGATTCCGTCCTTACTCATGGTCTACGACATTGAACGCGCGGATCCTAAATCCCACGTGCGCACCAAGACTTACTGGTTCGCCGTGCAGAGAGGTTTGATCTGCAATATTAGAAAGAGGGAGCGGCCATTAAAAGCCTGAGACAGAGTGGCCTGAACTCGTTTAACTGGCGTTTTGGGTAAGCAAGCGGGCAGGTATGCATTCCATGACTTCCAAAGCAGTTAAAAGCAGCCAAACTTGAAAATTTGGAAGAGAACATCGAATGTGGTTGTCGATTGAACAGTTCAAGTGGGAAATCGATGTTTTGATGGGAATGTTCAATTCAGGCGAGATCTGGAAATGCCACAAGCCCCTCTTGTAGCTGCGTGTGATTGTCTTGGAGGGCCTGGCTCGGCGGGCGACTCCGTAAATAGTATGTCAATGTGATACCTTTACCTGTGTTCTGTCCTCGCTCGAGCGTTTACAAGTCGCGCATACATTGCAGTTACCAAGTAGAGTCTTATCGAGAATCAGATGAGTGCAAAAAAAAATTAACGAACGAAACCAAGCGCCAGAAAGTGTGGTTCAAAAATCGGTGGGAATTCTCCCTCGATGCATTTTTACTAGGTCTGGCGAGTAGACAATAATAATAATAATAACGATGATGATAATATGCGGATAAAGATGCAAGAGCAGATAGCCTGGCCTGAGTATACTGTGTACAATTTTCCCCTCAGGTGCTGACGGATGGTGTAAGTGTGTATGTACGTATGTATGTACTGAAAACACGGGACACATGATCTACCTCACAGTGCGATTCTGACGGGCCCTGCCCATCGGCGCAGCCTGGCGCCGTAAACCTGGACGCAGACAAGGATAAGGTAGGCGGCGACGACGATGACGGCCTGGAGACCGAAGGAGACGTCAAAGCCCATACGCAGGCCCCATGCCTGCTGGAAATATCCGACGGTGAAGCCGCCGAGTACGCGGGCGAAGTTGATCAGGGCTGACACCTCGCCGGAGGCGGACGGGTAGCAGTCGAGCACATATGCGACGGTGGCGACGGAGACGATCATGACGCCGAACTGGAACATGCCCCAGCCGAACACGATGCCGACCCAATGCAGGTGGCGCTGCAGCGTCTGGCCCACCAGCACCAGGCCGGGCACCATGAACGCGCCGCCGATGTAGTTTGTCCAGAGCCGCGTCTCGGGCACAAACAGGCCGTGGTGGTTCTCGATGTACCGCGTCGCGATCCAGTCGTTGAAATAGTGCCCGAACGCCTCTCCAATGAGAATCGCAACAAACGGCGTAAAATACATGTATCCGCAGGCGATAGAGCTGAACCCGTACCCGCCGGCCTCGACGGGCGTTTGCAGCAGGATCGAAGACGTGATGTTAATCCCCACCGACCACATGAATATCATCAAATAAAACATCATGCACAGCGGGATGACGGGCTTGAACAGCACCTCGGCGAGCCGGCCGTAGCACCGGGGCAGGGTCGAGAAGTAGCCGTTCCCGTGGTGCTGGATCTGCCACAGACCTAAAACCCGCGAGAGCCGGCCCCTCTGGCCGCCGGGACGACGGGGCTGCTGCGCCCGCGGCACCGAGCGCTTATAGTAGGTCTCGTCGCCGAACAGGAGGATCAGGCAGAGCAGGAAGCAGGACCAGGCAAAGACCAGCCAGAAGACTGGGCGCCACTCACCCAGTGTGCCGACGATGAAGTTGCCGCAGAAGGGCCCGACGAAGGGGGATATGATGTATATCGCATACCAGACCCCGATCTTGCGCGCGTGCTCGTGGAAAAAGAACATGTCGTGGATAAACGCCAAGCCGATGGTCTGTCCCGTGCTCTGGGTCACGCCTTGCAGCGTGCGAAACCCATAGAAAGCGGCAAAGTTGGGAGCCAGGGCCGAACCCAGCGTGAAGGCTGCACCCATCACGGAGCTCCAGAAGAGCACAGGGGTGCGGCCCCAGTAGTTGAGCAGCGGCATCCAGATGAGGCCTGAGACACCGCACATGATGACATTCAGATTGCCCGCGTAGTTGACGACCACGGGGGACATGTTCCATTCAATCCCTTGCACGACGATGGTGCCGACCCCGGCGCCAGACCCAAAATCACCGGCGAAGGCTCCAAAAGCGACACAGATGAGTATCATGTGCTTTTTGAAAGACGGCCAGTTTAGGGGATCGTCAGGGTCGTCAGACGGTTGCGGAACCAGCACGGTTTGGCCATCCTTTGCGAGCTTGAGGTTGGTCACATTCGACCCTTTCTCAGTGCCGGGGGCCAGCCGTAGGAGAATCTCTCCGTTGTCCAGTTCTATCTGTTCCCTTTTAGAACATCCCCCAGGTCCATCATCTATGATTGACTCACCTCCCTATCGTCGTGTGCGAGATGCGACTTAGCGTCGACCGGCACATCTTCTGCGTGGATCGTATTCTTTTCCTCGCCTGCCATTATGCTGAGGTGTTCCTGACCACAACAGTTGGGCAGGATCGAGACCGATAAGACGTCCTCTGTTAATATGCTTGTTCCACCAGGGTGGGACATTGCATAAGACGGGCATAGTCCGGGGTTTGGTTGAATCCAGAGTTCGGTCCAATCCGGGGTATCAGTTCGGGGTCGGGAGAGTCTCCCGACCTTGGGCAAATCGAATGGCAATAAAATACATCGACTTACAGTTTCAACTATAGTCCTTGCATCCAAACCGTCGGAATCACTTGCCGGAGACCACATGACCTGGGAGAACTTTGTAGGCTGAATACCTCTCCGGCCATACCCTGGGCAGCCCTTGGCCAAGTTGAGCACCTTGCTCAAACTCACCTAGGATGGACTCCCTTGGTGGAGCAACCCACAGACACAATGGGTCACATATTCTGCCATCTATTAAACCCTACCGAGGAGACGGAGTCTGACAGGGCCCCGCGATACTGCGAGATAGACGCAAGGTCCGGATGACCGCCAAAATAATTACACTGCTTATCACGTCCAACAAGTTAGGGGGAAATGATAGACCAGCCTGATTGAAAGGCATCAACATGCTCGCGCCAAATGGACGGGCGAGATCGTTGCCATGAATAAGCAGGCCCAACTTTTTTGAAGTGCTGTGGGGTAGAGATGGTGGAAAACACAAAACGAATAGTCAGGTCGAGGTAGTGTTCAAATACCGAGGAGAGATTAAAATGGAAAGAAAAAAAGAAAAAAAAAAAGACATTTCTGAAAAGAAACAAAAACAAGCTCCGAACGTGGTTCGAACACGTGACCTAGAGATGTTGGTAGTTTTCTGACTGCAATCTCTCGCTCTACCACTGAGCTATCGAAGCAGGTTTCGTCGAGGCAACTTTTGAGCTGAAATTTGGGGCTTCAAAAATATATCAGATTTGCAATGTGGGGACTTGGTGGAAATAATTGGCGGCCCGGGGCTGGGGCTCAAAAGCGGCAAGGGCCGGTGTGAGTATCTGGCGAGACGAGCTGTATGTACCATGTACCTAGCGGATAGGGGCTAGGGGAGTACATGGCTACGCGACAGGCATAACTTTGGACGCACTGCCAGATGACCAATGCATTTTGTAAACTCCTGACAGTGAGACAATACTGAGTAATAGCAGATCATTGCAGGATACATTTTTGAGCATTCTTCCTTGCACTAGTTGTACATGATTGAAGTCTTTAGAACGATGTGAGAGGCAGCTTAATTCGCTTATGGCTGTGAAGCTGCTATGGCAACTCTACCTAAAGATCCACCAACCTGGCTGCCGGCTCAGCGAGAAGGTCTTGTGCCTTTCGGATCATGCCTTTGATTCTAATTAATTCATGGAACACCATCTCATTCAATGATTCACTTACTCTCAAAGTTGTCCAGGAATTCCTTCTCTGGATCATAGCCCCACAAGAATGATTGTGCCTTTGCATCGCCTAGCAGGTCAGGATTTTCACCGCCCTTTGAAACCTCTTTGAACTTTTCGTCTCTCGCCTGTTGGTCTGGGCCATCGTGGAGGTGCAGAACTCGGCGCGTGGCGCCACCCGTACCAGCAACGTGCTCTGCCCGGGATTTTCGTGCTACTTCAAACGCCTTGAGAAGCGTTGGTATCTCATCTGGCTTCGAGACGCGGTTCAGGGCCAAACAAAGGACTCCGACGTCTTCGATCGCTTGAGCGGCCCCCTGTGCCACATAGGGCAGCATGGGATGGCAAGCGTCACCGAGCAGAACCACTTTCCCCATCACCCACGTTGGAAGCGGATCATGCTCGCATAGCCGCCACTTCATCACGTTCTCGTCAGGGATGAAGTTCAAAAGCTTGCGCAGTCGAACTGGATCCCACGATCCAAACTGATCCAAAATCTCCTGCTTAGAGGCTTTCGCGGTCCAGGATTCTTCTGAGAAACCCGTGTCTGGGTGGCACATTACCTACGACTCAGTCAGCGACCGCGGGCTTGGCAGTAAAGCATTCTCCTACCATATTATAGAGATTTCCATGCCGTATTGGATAGGCCTGGACATGTCTATCAGGACCCATCCACCTTGTGGCGACAGGTTCTGTAATAAAAGCCCGCAACTCTGGATCCGTAACGATATCCAGGGGTATGCAGGCACGGAATGCAGCGTCTCCCGTTGGCCTCGCTTTGTCGAGCAGACCCAGCGTTTGGTAAATCAACTTTCTGCAGGTAGATTTCATTCCTGATTTTGTGAGTAGATCCCCAGATCACGATACGGGACGCGCACCATCTGCACCAACAACCGCATCTGCCTCGAGCATGCTGCCATCAGATAGAGTTACCGAAGGCTTGTCAAAATCAATACCCGTGACCGTACTGTTGATGCGAACTTCGGCCACCAACTCAGCCTCTTCCATCAATGCTCCATGAAGATCCGCACGGTGGATCGCATACTGTGGAGCGCCATGTCTCCTCTCGATCTCAGGCATGAGAGTTGCTGCGCCGAGAAATTCGCCATCTTTCCATCGTCTCAGGTCGATTCGAGTGAGAGAATTCGTATGCTTGAGTACACGCTTGTCGAGGCCCCATCGGGCTAAAAGGCGCGTGAGGTTTGGAGAGCAATTAATTCCTGCGCCCACTTCAGCAATCATCGGTGCTGCTTCTAGAACAATGACTTTGTGCCCAGAGTCGCCCAAGATGCCGGCGAGCGCTAGACCCGCAATACCAGCTCCAACAATAATAATGTTCAAAGGGTGATTTGCTTTTATAAATGGACCATTTTGATTGGCACCTGAGTGGGAATTTCCGTTGACGCTGTTGCTCTGGACACCATTCGTGTACACTGCATCTGACGCTGTGGCTTCGGACGAAGGCATCGCGGTGGGCGATAGTAACAGAGTTTGTGACCGCGGCGGGAGCAATTTAACGATCGGGCCTAAGTATTGAGGATATCAGTCTGATATCTGAGAGAATGGCTAATATCTTTCGTCCTTGCTTCTTGAATAGCCAGTTGCGCGTGGTGCAGGATCCCAAAATAGACCGGCCGGCTTTTCCAAGTGGTAGTCTTGAACTACTGCTTCACGGCATAGGTTGGGCTTCGCGATGGCGATAGACTGTTGCTCGGAAACTCGATCCTGACTATACGGGATCGTCTCCCGCAGACAGTGAGAGGCCCCCCGGGCATGACCAAGAATCACACGTGACCTTGATGGTTCGAGGTCTCGAGCACCGAGACCTATTGTATCATTCAAGAAAGTGATTAGTGGGACGGGACTCCAGACTGGGCTGCAATTGGTGACAGCCAAATATGGGCTTGTGCATAAAAGCATACCCTATTCCACTGAACAATGTGCGGAAACAGAGAGAATCAGAAAGCCCAATCGCCCATCAAGCAGACATCAAGCAAGAAAACAAGATGGGAGAGAATAGTGTGAATGGTCGGAAAATGAACAATGTTCCCCTCTGGATCGACAACAAGCCTGTGCAATCGAAGACCACGTTTAGCGTAACAAATTCGACGTCGCAAAAAGAAGTATGGACTGCGTCTGCTGCCGATGTGGAAATTTCTCGAGAAGCTGTTGATTCTGCTTCCAGCGCGTTTCAATTGTGGGCTCACACACATCCAACAGAGAGGAGACGCATTTTCTTCAAAGCTGCAGAATTATTCAGATCCCGCCGCGACGAGATCGTCGAAACCATGGTTCAAGAGACCAGCTGTAGCAGTGAATGGGCTTCTGGAATCAACATGCGCATGGGAGTTGAGTTCTTGGAAGAGCTTGCAAGTCTTGCCACAACTTGCAGCATGGGATGGTTACCAACGACAGAAACTGAAAGTCTGTAAGCTCCAAGTTCCGACGAATTCTCAGCTAACCGCGAAGATCGCTTGGCTCTTGTATTCAGGGAGCCGTACGGTGTTGTGCTCGGAATTGCACCATGGAATGCGCCGTTCATCCTGGCCATTCGAGCAGTAGCGACACCCATCATTTGTGGAAATACTGCTGTGCTCAAAGCGTCGGAACTGAGTCCCATGACCCACCACATCATTGGACAAGTTTTTCGCGACGCTGGCCTGCCACCTGGGGTGCTAAATATCATCCAACACGCCCGCGAGGATGCTGCTGATGTGGTCAACGCCCTAATAGCCCACCCCGCAGTTCGCAAAATCAACTTCACAGGCTCGACGGCTGTGGGAAGAATTATCGCACAGCAGGCAGGCAGACACCTCAAGCCTGTTTTGCTAGAACTGGGCGGCAAAGCTTCGTGCATTGTCCTTGAAGATGCAGATTTGGTCAAAGCCGCGAAGGCCGTAGTGATGGGAGGATTCTTGCATGTAAGTTGATCCCCAGAGAGCATGACAGTTATTCACGCGCCATAGCATGGACAAATTTGCATGGCGACTGAGCGAGTGATTGTCATGCGTCCAGTTGCAGAAGAATTCTTGAAGATACTCAAAGAAGAGGCCCAGGCATTTGTCGTAGGCAATGCCGTGTCAACCGACGGGGCAGAGCGAACGGCATCCCTAGTCCAGACTGCGGTAGAACAGGGAGCTCGCCTAGAATTCGGACATCCCTCGTGTCTCAACGCATCTCTCCGACCAACAATTCTGAGTGGTTTAACAAAGGACATGGATTTGTTCTATGCCGAGAGTTTTGGGCCTACCTTGAGCTTGACCACGGTTGACACTGTGGATGAAGCGATCGGGCTGGCCAACGACACAGGATATGGTCTCTCAGCGAGCATATTCTCCAAGAATATCCCTAAGGCGTTGAGATGTGCGAGGCGGATTGAGACCGGAGCTTGCCATATCAATGGAATGACGGTCCATGATGAGCCATTCTTGCCGCATGGGGGAGCGAAAGAAAGCGGATTCGGTAGATTTGGCGCTCGATGGGGAATGGACGAGTTCCTCCAAGTTAGAACCGTCACAATCCTCGACGAGGGAAAATAGTTAGGAATCATGGTTGAAGTTCGGGTTTCCCGTAGAAATCTGCCATTGCCAGAGCGCCACACCAGCTGTGCCACAAGAGAGCCGAACAACATTTCCACGTCATACGGCATTTGGACCTCCACCTTTTGTTCGGCATGTTCGGCCCTTATACGGGTTCATATACCGGCCACCCACCATGACCCCACGTGAGCTGTTTGCCGTTGCTATAACTGCTGTTCAGTCTTCAAAGGACCAGACGAAGACACCTAAAGCAAAAAAATGGGGTCCGTTTCCAGTCCAAATGGCGCAAGCAGCACAGTCGCTCTGGTGGTCTCTGAACACAACGGGCCTTTCGAAGTTAAAGAAGTACAACTGAATGATATGCGACCCGATGAGATTGTGGTCCGCATGATAGCAACGGGTGTCTGTCATACCGATGTGGCCACTTCCATAGGTCACCGAGGTCCTGGGCTACCTGCAATCCTCGGCCATGAAGGTTCTGGAGTCGTTGAACAAGTCGGTTCCGAGGTGAAACATGTGGCTATTGGTGATCATGTGCTTTTGTCCTTCAACTACTGTGGGAATTGCACGCCCTGCCGTCGCGGGAACCCATCATACTGTCGAAAAGGACCCCATTTGTGTTTCGGCGGCTCTCGCTTGGATGGAAGCAAGCCATTCTCTCTCAACGGCACCGACATCAACTCATCCTACTTTGGCCAGTCTTCCTTCGCTGCCCGTTCGATTGTGAGCGGAGTCTGCGCGGTAAAGATCCCTTCAAATGTCCCGCTTGACATTCTTTGCTGTCTAGGCTGCGGGATCCAAACGGGAGCTGGTACCGTCTTGAATCTTCTCAAGCCCACTGTGGGAGCATCGATTGCAGTATTCGGTGTCGGGTCAGTCGGTCTGGCGGCGATCATGGCGGCGGCCAAATTGACACCTGCCACAAAGATCATTGCTATT